CCCCCCCCCACCGCCCCTCAGCCTGCTCTCAGGGCTGGGGAGAGGATGGGAAAGCAGCAGTGAAGCCAGCGATGGATCTTCTGGTCACTCTGGAAGAAGAGACTTGCAGGACCCTGGGATTTCTAAAATTCATTTATCCAAACCCTGTAATTACAATGCTCCAGTGGGTAAGGGGGACAAAAATGCTATTGAATTCTCATTTATTTTCCAAGTAAATTTAAGGTAATGATAACTCTTGCAGAAATTTCCCCAGAGCTCTTTCATCTCTGTAATAGCCCTTTATATTTGTATTTCTTAGTTAAACTTGCTGTTCTGCCGACCTTATGTCATTCACTTGTGACTAATGCAAAGGGCTGTCAGAAAAAGTCCCTCATCAGGCTTTTCCTTAAAGAATGGAAAAAAAAAAAAGTGTAACCCACCAGAAATAAAATACTTCAAATACATAGAGCCCTGGAGAGTATGAAGTCCATAAACACATTTTTTTTGAAAAGTTCTTTTCTTGCTATAGCAAGTAGTTCTATGGTTGTTTTCTTTTCTCCAGTCAATACAATAATGCTATTCCTGGGAAATTTAGGTATTCAAGCACTCAGAAAGTGCGGAGAAGGGAGAGGAGGAAGGACAGACACCCACCATAGGGCCTAGCATGCCATTCTCACTTGTCGGCAACCACACTAAAGGTAGAGAGAGCTGCCAAAGTCCATAGGGGCAACCAACACTGATAAGCTATCAGTAATCCCAGAGGGGCATACAATTAATTATTAACGTAGCTCAAAATCAAAAGGTCATGTCCCCATTTCTAGACTCCCCAATTCTATAGGTTTATGTTAAATCCTACATTGTCATTGTTCTGCATGCATAGTGCCAGTTCAGTGCCCCACTGGTCCTACCTTTTACCCCCTCCACCCCACAACTTAAGTATGTCATTGTTAGAATCCTAACAATTCCTCCCCCTCTCCCGCAAAAGTCTCTATTATTCTGAAGTATATTTGACCTCCTTCCTTCTTTTCTTCTTTCCTCCTTTCTAATTCTTCTTTCTCTTTAGATTGGGCCTCATTCACTTTATAACTCAGGCTGGCCTCAAATTTAAGGTGTTCTGCCTCAGCCTCTAGAGTATAAGTATGAACCACCACACTGGAATTTTTTTTTACCATAATCCACATTAGAAAATACCTTACTCCAATATAAATAATACACCAAACATTATACAAAATGTCAACTGGGGTTATAGGTCAGTGGAAGAGTGCTTGTCTAGCATTTGGGAGGCCCTGGGTTTGATCCCAGGACACACATACACACAAAAAGCAAACTACAACAAAACCCACAAAATGTTAATAATACTCAATGCACTGGTAATACATAATTCCTTTTTAAAAAGTAGTAACAAGGATGGAATGTGGCTTAGTGGTAGAGTGCTTACCTAGCATGCATGAAGACCTGGGTTTGATTCCTCAGCACCACATAAATAGAAAAAGCCAGGAGTGACGCTGTGGCTCAAGTGGTAGAATGCCAGCCTTGAGCAAAAAGAAGCTCAGGGACAGTGCCTAGGCCCTGAGTTCAAGCTCCATGTCTGGGGAAAAAAAAAAAAAAAAGTAACCATCTCACTAAATTGATTCCATGACCTTTATTGGATTGTGATCTACAGAATAAGGCTTATGATCCACTTTTCCTTTCCATGTACCTCATTTCTATTCCTAATATTAGACGCAATCTGCCTGGATTTTAAGAAATTCAGTATAACATCTAGTGTAACATCTTACACATAACCAACTCTCAAGAAATATTTGCTGGATGAATGAATAGTCCAACACACCAAGTTTGATGCTGGGCAATATTTAAGATAACTGAGCACCAGAAACTGATAGAACATTGTTGCTGTTCTGCTCAAACCATGTCTTTGTGCCAAAAGTATGTAGACAGATTTCCCCTATGTGAAGTGAGGGAAACAGCATTAGGCAAAAAGCAGAGAATGGAGAGCTCCTCCTCCCACCTTGGCTGTGCAGAGTGGAGCCAGGGACTCAGAAACCAATACCCCCTTAGGTACTGTGTGGTGAAAGGGGACAAAATTATCTTCCTCTCCCACCTCTGTATCTTTAAGAACTTATATGCCAAGAGTCCATAGCTTTTCTACAGCCTGTGAGATCAATGACCAATTTCTCCAGTGCTTACAGTTTTTGAGAAAAAAAAAAAATGTGGTTTCTATATTCGGCATGGCTTAACAAATTTAAAAGGATTGGTGGGAGCCAGGCGCCAATGGCTCACATCTGTAATCCTAGCTACTCAGGAGGCTGAGATCTGAGGATTGCGATCCAAACCCAGCCCAGGTAGGAAAGTCTGAGACTCTTATCTCCAATAAACCATCAGAAAACCGAAAGTGGTGCTGTGGCTCTAGCGGTAGAGTGCTTACCTTGAGCTGAAGAGCTCAGGGACAGAGCCCAAGCCGAATTCAAGCCCCATGACCAGAAAAAAAAAGGACTGGTGATGATGTGAAGGTCCTTTGCAGCTCTGAGGACTCGTGCTAGCATCTTACACACTGTCAGCCAAAGGGTTAAAAAGAAGTCTCAATTGTGATTCCTGTTCCCATCTGATAGATTCACAGCCAAGCAAGACAGCTAAGGATACATGCTTGGTTACAAGTGACCTCCAGGAATGTGTGAATATTAGCAATTTGAGTCTTTATTACTGATCAGTCTAATTAATGGTCTGCCATTTTGTTAATCTCTTCAAAGAACCAAGTTCTGGTTCCACTTACTTTTTTTTTTGCGGGGGGGAGGTCAGTCGTGGGGCTTGAACTGGGCACTGTCCCTGAGCTCTGCAGCTCAAGGCTAGCATGCTACCACTTGAGCCACAGTGCTTCTTCTGGCCTTTTTTTCTATTTATGTGGTGCTGAGGAATTGAACCCAGGGCCTCATGCATGCGAGGCAACCACTCTACCGCTGAGCCACATTCCCAGCCCTTGTTTCTGTTTTCTATTTCATTAATTTCTGTGAGATTTTGTTGTTTTGTTGACAGGTATAATGGTAAAGCCAACGGGCAGAAAAAGGAAGCAGATACACCAGAAAGTATAGGTAAAAGACAGACATTTCATAAAGGGTGGAGAGCCACACTTGGACATTAACTGACTCTCCAGGCAAATGGAACCTATGGGAAGAGAAAACACACATAAAATGTATATATGCCTCATTAGTCTCTGAGGTAAGACTGCCAGAATGTTTTCTGGTTAAGCATTCCTGCCCTGCTCAGGGTGAAATTACCTAGCTAACACAAGTGCACCTGGCTTGCAGAATAATGGACAATCTGGTGGTACAGCTCTCTGAAGGAAAAGGAACTGTATACATTTGACATATAAATAACACTTTCCAACAAATTACACATTTATACAAATTTGTTTTTATTTCCCACCTTATGTTAACCCAACTATTTGACATTGAAACTGAAAACACATGAATAGAACACTAGGAGTAAAAAGTGGAGATATTAGGCATTATATTCAAGTATTTGTTCTGATTAAGAGAAAAAGACTATTAGGAAATCCAACTTCAAAAGAGAAATTCAAAATGCTTCAAAAGAAAAATGAGAAAATGGGGCTGTTCAGCCAGAGATCAGTGGTTCAATCTCTTTGGGCTCAGTGCTTTTAAATTCCAAGTCTGAGCCTTGCCTCAGTAAGGGGGCTCCAACTAAAACCAGGAGTGCACCCGAGGACCATCGATGCTCATCCCTTCCCAGCCTCTTGGTGTTACAATAGATAAAGCTTACTTGGTGCCCTTTTTCTTTTCTTTTCTTGCTGTACCAGGGATGAAACCCAAGGCCTTACATATGCTAGGCAAGCACTCTACCACTGAGCTGTATCTCCAGTCTAGTCTCTTCTCTGAGATAGCTTTAAAGGCTAACCTTTTTCTATACACTCTTGTTTTATTTTTCCATATTGTATTTCCAGCGCTGCAGATTGAACCTGGGCCTTGCACCTGGCTAGGGAAATGTTGTACCATTAAGCTAAATTCCTAGCACCAGTACTCTGTCATTTAAAATGAGCATTTCTGCTCTATCTCCTCTTTTTCCATCATATAAAAACATGAATAAACAAATAGAAATTTGAAAATGTTAAATAATTTTGCTTTGAAAGTCCAGTAAAACAGAGATGGCCTGAAAGAGCTGGATGGTTTTGAGACAGGACTGGGGAGAGCCACGCAGAAAACCATCGCTTCCTCACAACACTGAGATTCAAAGGTCTGGTGACTACAGTCTAGACTTTGCAAGAGTATATAGTTTTACCCAGATGGCTTCTGGATTCTGGAAAACTCCTAGTTAAGTGAGCCCACAGCTGCAAGAGCTTCATTTGCAAGAGAAATGTTCTATCTCACAGACAATACAAAAGCAAAGGCTATGCATCTCCAAGAAAGGGTCAATAAAAACTCAAAACTACCCGGAACTCTCCTAACTGCTCCATTCTTTTCTGTTGAAATTGTTACTTAAAAACTCAAACTTGGGGCTGGGAATATGACTTAGTAGTAGAGTGCTTGCCTAGCATGCATGAAGCCCAGAGTTTGATTCCTCACTACCACATAAAAACAGAAAAAGCCAGAAGCAGCGCTGTGGCTCAAGTGGTAGAGTGCTAGCCTTGAGCAAAAGAAGGTCAGAGACAATGCTCAGACCTTGAGTTCAAGCCCCAGGACCAGCATAAAAACAAAAACAAAAAGAAAAACCCCTGAAACTTGCTGCAGACCAGTCACAAAGAGCAAACTCTGCCTTACAAACCCACCTTTTCAATGTGTGTGTTGGAGGAGCAAGAAAGTAATATAGTACATAGTAACCAAAATGGTCAGAAAAAGCTCAGCTAAACATTCAGAAAGCCAAGGCATAGCTGCAAGCTACTTTTAAACTAAGTCATTACAGGTGTCATTAAGCTCCTCTCCAGGAAAGGTTAGACAGCAAGGGCCTGCCTGACCGTGCCACAAACTATTTTACTACATGCCTTCCACAGATGTCAGCAACAGCAAGATCTCTGAAAAACTCTGCCTTACAGACTAATTTTTAACTGTTTCAGTTGCTCAAATAAAGTAACTCTCTAAGACATTTGCAATGACTTCATTATCACCTATGGCACTAGAAATGGCAGTAATTCTGTTAAGCACAACTTCTAGGTGTAAGTGCTGTCTCTACTGGCCAAAAAAGCTCATATTGTCTTGGGAGCTCTTTACTGACATATGAGATATTTGGGGCCTTCCACATGATAAACATACATCTATCTACCTTGGGAAGTTCTTAATGGCCCATCCTGCATTCATACCACTCTAAGCAGTAGCAGTACTGCAGTACCATTGGCAGCAAGCCCGTTTATATCTGAGACTAAGAAACTTGCTTCTTGTTGATATCAGATGTTAACACACAAAAAAGAAATCTTATTCTACAAGGTTGGAGAAAGCAAAGACTGAATGCTGACATAAATGCCACTTTGGTATGTCGATTCTGTAAGAGATGCAGCTGAGTTAGAAGTCCAATTTCTCCTTGCCAGCCTATTCCTAGGCTACCATCACAAGAAGAACAGGTTCTCACACAGCTGGATAGCTGGTTCCTGATGTAAGATCTGTCCAGACAGGAAAGCTAGCTTGTGGGCATACTTGCAAGGAGCTGGAACTCTGATGGTACCAGGCCAATTCCAGTACATGTGGCATAGTTTGAAAGTCAACCTGTAAGGCAAGAATAAAGTATGATCCTTATCACCCTCCACCTCCATTTCAGGGTAGGATAATGCTTGGAGATGTGACACAATACATTCACTAGCAACTGGTGAACCCTGGAATACATGATGCCATTCTTTCTAAGTCAGAGGATGGGTAAAGCCTCTCATTTCTAATTATCTCATGTTTGTATATTAAAGTAAGAAAATCAAATCAACATGCAGAGAAAACTTTTTTTTTTTTGGCCAGTCCTGGGGCTTAAACTCAGGGCCTGGGTCCTGTCCCTGAGCTTCTTTTGCTCAAGCTAACACTTTACCACTTGAGTCACAGAACCACTCTTCTGTTTTTGTCGTACTGAGAAGTCAAACCCGGGGCTTCATACATACCAGGCAAGTACTCTACCACTAAGCACCCACATTCCCAGGGCAGAGAACACTTTTTTTGTCTGTAGGCAAAGTCAGCAGAAGGAGTACCTTATAGAGTATTTATATACTCTGAAGTTAAAGACAGTGGGTCCCAAACCTTAGTAACCTGGAAAAGTTTTTAATAACAATGCTAGGGGACCTGGAAGCATGTATCTGTATTCCCAGCTACTTGGTAGAGGCTGATGAGGAAGGACTGATTGAGCCCAGAACTTGGAGCAACCTGGGCAACACAGCGAGATCCTCCCTGTTTAAAAAACATAAAACAGCCAGGCATTAGTGCCACATGCCTGTTATTCTATCTACTCAGGAGGCTAAGATCTGAATATGGAGGTTTGAAGCCAGGGTCAGCAGGAAAGTCTTCAGACCCATCTCCAATTAACCAGCCAATGGTGGACTGGAGGCATGACTCAATTGGTAGAGTAGGCCAGCTGTGAGTGAAAAAGCCAAACCAATGAAGAATGTAATGCTCTGAGTTCAAGGCCTGGTACTGGCAAAATAACATGGGTTGGAGGCATGGCTCAGTTGGCAAAGTGTCAGTTAATGAGTAAAAGCATCAGGTCAAGCCCTGGTCTCAGAACTAAAAAGAAAAAAGAACAGAACAAAACAACAGCCACACACACACACACACACACACACACACACACACACACACACACACACACACTCTTAAGGTGTTCTGATTGGAAGTCTGGCATCAGTATTTTTACCAAGGCTCTTCAACACACACACACACACATACACACACACACCCTCTTAAGGTGTTCTGATTGGAAGTCTGGCATCAGTATTTTTACCAAGGCTCTTCAACTCATTTTAATGTAGAATTAGGATTATCAAACACTCCTTAAAAACATATACTATTCAAAGATCTGAGGCTGGGCTCTAGCAACTCATGCCTTGTAATCCTAGCTACTCAGGAAGCTGAGATCTGAGAATCGCTGTTTAAAGCCAGCCAGGCATGAAAAGTCTGTGAGATTCTTATCTCCAATTTACCACCAAAAATCTAGGAGTGGAGCTGTGGCTCAAGTGGAAGAGTGATAGACTGGAGCAAAAAGTCAGGGACAGCACCAGGTCCTGAGTTTAAGCCCCAGGATTGGCACCAAAACACAAAAACAAAAGATGCGAAAAAAGGTGAGGGGTAAAAATATTTATTAGCAGAGGCAGTAACCTCACCTTAGCCAGCTGGTCTGAATTACAGTGAGAGAGAGTTCCTGATAGACTCACCTCTGCATGTGATCAGGGCTCAGGTTTGCAGTGTTGAGAACACAGACATAATGTGTAGGAATGCCACAGCCTTGCCGCACGTGATGTGCAAGAAGGTAGAAATCCACCCTAGTCAGGAAAAGTACCAGTTAATGAACAGATAGTTGGATTTGGTCAGAGAGCACTGCAAAGGATCTTGGGCATCTTTCACCAAAGTCTCAGAGACATAAATGACTGGATCAAGAACACACAAGAACCAAACCAAGATTAGAACATAGGCCTCCTTGCTTATCACGTTAGAAATTCCTTAAGTAAGGGGTTTCTTAAGCATATGCTGTTTTAGGGAAGGAATGTATGTTCAATATTTTATACAGAGCTGGGCATGATGGCACATGCCTATAATTGCAGCAACTTGGAAGGCTGAGACAAGAGCACTGCAAAGTTACAAGCCAACTTGAACAACATGGCCAGATTGTCTCAATTTTTAAAAAAAGAAGGAAGGGAGGGAGGGAGGGAGGAATAAATTATACCTAAGAGGTAAAAGCTTTGCTATTTATATTTTAAGCAAGTTTGTATGTCCAGGCTGCTGGGTAGAGTTCTCTGTACTTCCACTGACTCAGGGTACTGCCTATCTCATGAAAAATTTCTCTGACCATAAACTTGGCTAAATTAAAAAAAAAAAAGCTTGTGTGTATGTGTACACACATGTGAACATGTATGCAATAATGTGTTGCTGGGATAGCACTCATGGTAGGCAAGTGATTCTGAGCTGCATCTCTAGCCTAGGCCTTATTTTTTACAGTACAAATCTCTAAGATTCCATTGTACACCTGTCCAGGCAATACTCAGCAATCTATTCTTTCCCACATGAGGAACTACCTTTTTTGCTAACTTACCACTCACAGCTTGTTATCGTGTGATCAACCACAGTCCCTGGGGATGGAGTCACAAAGTCCTTGGAGGTAGCAAGATACAGATTGGTGCTGATTTTCTTCTGAACTACAAACACCACCATCTTGGGCTGGTAATTCTCAAAAGATTCAAAACACTTCTGCAGCTGAGGAATCTCATAGTTGGCAACTGTCTTTAGCTGGCCATCCGACACTCCATCACGGTACATAACAATCTTTTCAGGTAGACAATGGTTCACCTGAAATATGGTTCACTTGGATGAAATGACTGATAGGGCACATTCAAATTGTGTAGCCTGGAGACCTGGTAGTAGATGCCTCTGACAGTTGGCCCTAGAGCTACGTACTTGATAGGCAGGGATTAAAAAGCTGCTAGTCATTTCTAGATTTTCTCAGGGTAGTAAAACAGGCCAGGTGTTATAAAGTATGAAAGGAACAGCAAGGTGTGAGTCACAGGCATAAAGCATATCATCAAAGTGAATAAGTTAAAGGGAACAACAAGAAAATTATGGGCTGAGTCAGTCCTCCTTATACTTGGATTTAATATTAATAACTGTCTAGGCAAAGAACATAAAATGTCTGAAAAATTCTAACAAATGAACACACATGCCACACATCTACCATCCTTGCATTTGACATACTTGTAATACCCAAAGCTGTTGACAAGTAGAAGGGTTTTTTACTAAATATTATTCTACAATCTGGTGGTAATGTGAAATATTTGTACTGTAGCTAATTAAATGCTGGCTCAAATCAGTTTAAAGAATAACTGTTTCCCTGTTTGGGGAAAGTAATTATGCTCAGGTTGTGTTCAAATACTCCAGAAAATAGTTCGGTTCCATTTTAACCTACATGTCCACTTGCAAGTACTTTGGATGGATAAAGGTGTGGCTCAGGTGGTAGAGCACCAGTTTAGCAAGCATTCAAACCCTAGTACTGCCCTCTCTTCTGGAAAAAAGTACTTCAGTTTAATTTTAGTTTTGATTGAAATGTGCTCATTCTAGGTTTTTGTTCACATTTCCCCTCAAGAGCTAAATTATGAATTTGATTTAAGAATTATTTACATATATTCACTATTCGTTACATGAAAATTTGATTTCAAAGAACTCTGGTTAAAAATAATCACCTAAAGCTGGGCGCTGGTGGCTCACACCTGTAATCCTAGCTACTCAGGAGGTTGAGATCTGAGGGTCATGGTTCAAAGCCAGCCCAGGCAGGAAAAGCTGTGAGACTCCTATCTCCAATAAACCACTCAGGGAACTAGAAGTGGTGCAGTGGCTCAAGTGGTAGAGTGCTTGCCTTGAGCTGAAGAGCTGAGGGACAGCGCCCAGGCCAAGAGTTCAAGCCCCATGACCAACCAAAAAAAAAAAATCACCTAGAATCTCTTGGAAGTTTAAGTCTGTGTTTCAAATATTGTATAATTGTTCCCTCTTTTTTGTTTTTTTTTGTCGGTCGTGGGGCTTGAACTCTGGGCTTGGTTGCTGTCCCTCAGCTCTTCAGCTCAAGGCGAGTGGTCCATTGCTTGAGCCACAGTGCTACTTCTAGTTTTCTAGTGATTTATTGGAGATAAGAGTCTCATGGACTTTCCTGCCTGGGCTGGCTTTGAACCACGATCCTCAGATCTCAGCCTCCTGAGTAGCTAGGATTACAAGTGTGAGCCACCAGCACCCGGCTTCCCTCTTTTTTATGCTAAAAAATGTCAAGTACTCCAACATTTACAACATATATTTTATCTTCACAGAAACTGGAATTACTGCCTAGTTTGGCGTACTGTTTTGTGGAGAGAGAAGGCTAGCATCTTCTTCCTCCACTTCCACAAAAGAACTTCAGTTACCTCCTGCCTCCAATAACAATCTTGTATAAAAAGTATGACTCTTAAGGTGTCAGATCACAACTCAGGGTTTCTTAACCTTGGCATGCCAGTATTTGTTAAACAAACACACACAGACTTATATAACTATAACTCTTCTGTATATTACCTTTATAATAAAAATTAAAACACATAAACACAAACAATAACTGTTTTTAAAAACAAACAGCCAGACACAGTGGCACACATCTGTAATTCTAACTACTCAATGGGCTGAGTTCTGAAGCCAGACCAGGCAAACAAATGTGATAAAATATTTTTCCAGTAAGCCAGTAAAAAGCCAGAAGTAGATGTATAGTTCAAGTGGTAGAGCACCAGCCTTGAGCAAAAAAAAAAAAAAAGCCAAGCAAGAGTATGAGGCTTTGAGCTGAAGCCCCAGTATTATAAGCATGGGAAAAGAAAAAGACACAAATGGTTTCAGACTCTAATTTCTACATAAAGGACTAGCCCTGGACTACAAGCACATCTCAGTGCTTCCTTTGATGTACTGTACTGACCAAGGCAAAAGCCAGTACTAGGCTGGGAATGTGGCTTGTGGCAGAGTGCTTGCCTAGCAGGCATGAAGCCCTGGGTTTGAGTCCTCAGTGCCACATAAGCAGAAGAAGCCAGAAGTGGTGCTGTGACTCAAGTACTAGAGTGCTAGGCTCGAGCACACAGAGGCTCAGGGATAGAAACCAGGCCCTGAGTTCAAGGCCTAGGACGGGCAAAAAAAAAACAAAACAAAACAGTACTGTGCTTGCTCACTGTTCCAGACCTAATTATCAACTTAATGACAGTAATTCTCCATGGTTAGCATTCTTTGGAGTTCTTTTACAGGGAAGTGATTTATAGGGATACCTTTGTCTTAGACCAAAATGAAGAGAGTCAGCACCTAATGATAGTCATAAAAAGCTGAGTAAATTCATAAGCTACTTTAATTGCTGAAATTTACCCTTAATTCTTTGATAAGAACATGAAGATTATATCTACAGCCATCAGGTTGACAATCAGGGAAATAATTACTACTTACCAAACTGAATTGAGGCATTAGGCTCTTTGGACTAATCTACACAAGCAGAAGCCTAAAAGGAGAACTGAGCTTGTTGGGCAATAACTCTTTCAAAAGAGACTAGCCTTTGATTTGAGATCCTTCCACTACACCAGAATACTGTTCAAGAGTTCAGATATAACTGGGCCCTTGTTGCATATACCTGGACTTCTAGCTATTCTGGAGGCTGAGAGATGAGGATTGTGGTGCAAAGCCAGCCCAGGAAGAAAATTAACCATCAAAAAGCTGGACGTAGAGGTGTAGCTTAAGTTGAAGCCCCTGGCCCAGGGGCTGAGTTGAAGCCCCAATAACCAGCATAAAACAAAACAAAAAGAGTTTCGGTAAATAGTCCTTAAAACCTTCCAAATGGTAAGATTTCTGTTCTCCTCACCTCATAGTACTTTCTCAAGGAGTCCATCAGGCACAGTTTCAGGCTATCCACAATCTCCTGATGAGGTATCTGGAACACTACTCTCGAATACCACTTAGTGAGGGTGCTAAGCAGGGTGGTGTGGAGAGAGAGAAAGGAAGATGAATAGACATTAGAAAGGCCAGGGTCTGCTGTTCACATACACAGTTTTCTCTCTTGATCAACCCAACAAACACTGCCTAGAATATTTATTTGTGTTGAATATAAGAACATACAGTGATCTGGGAAGACATACTTAAGTCATATACAAAATACAAAATAAATATAACTGTAGTTATTTCCTACAAAAATGTTTCCAATAGAAAATATTCAAAATACATAGTTTAAGTGCATAAAAGAAACTAAGAAATTGAGTAGTGGGCTCAGTAGTTGAGCACTTGCTTGTCTAGCATGTACTAAGCCCTGGGTTCTATCCCCAGCACTGAAAAAAAATAGAAATTGAGGAAAAATATGTATATCTCATTTGTGTAAATAAATCAGTATACATGTGTGTGCATCTGCCCCCCACACACACACATAAGAGTCATACACCACAACTGCATATTTGACAATGGTCCCTTAAAGTTTCTATCACCTCCTGATGTCATGACCATCACAGTTTGTGTAAGTACACATTACTAATATCCATACAATGATGTAATCACCTAAGCAACGTATGACTGTATATTCACCACACAACTGTGTAAATACATAAGAAAGAATTGGAAAGTACACACACATCAAACTTTTGATGGTGGTTAACAAGAGATGAACCATGAAGAACTTTTTCTAGATTTCTGCAGATATTTGGAAGAAGCATACCTTACATTTTTGTAATTAGAACAAACAAATATACTTTATTTCTAGGGAGAAAACAATCAACAATGTAGGGAGCAAACTAGCACCTGGGGCAAGTTTGATAAGTAGGCCATAAACAAGTATCACATTAAGAGATAAGGGAAGAGCTGGGCGCTGGTGGCTCACGCCTGTAATCCTAGCTACTCAGGAGGCTGAGATCTGAGGATCGCGGAGAGACCGTGAGACTCCTATCTCCAATAAACCACCAGAAAACCGGAAGTGGCGCTGTAGCTCAAGTGGTAGAGCGCTCGCCTTGAGCTGAAGAGCCGAGGGACAGCGCCCAGGCCCAGAGTTCAAGCCCCACAACCAACAACAACAACAAAAAAAATAGATAAGAGAAGGAAGGAGGTTAGTATTCTTTATATTGAACTACCAAGTACTTAAAACATTTCTTCCATAGTTATAATAAATAGACAATCAAATGTAGTAGAGAATATGGCTAGCACTTACAGATTGATGCTTGCAACAAAACCAACCACAGATCGCATGCCTCTACTGGGATCATGGTAAACATCCATTCCAATCACCATCAATTTTTTCTATAGTAAGAATCAAAAGCAAAAGGCAAATTCAGATCAAGGAAATCTATTACTCCATATTTAACTATTATTTGAACCCCAAAGCAATTATCCTCCCATCCCCACATTTTACACATGGGAAAAAAGAGAAATAGTGCAATCAACTTGACTCTACCTAAACATGATGCCCAAAGTCAGATCCAGACCAAGGATCAACAAACACTTTTCATGAAAGGACTAATGACCTAATGGGCTCTGTGACCTCTTTAGTCTTTCAGGAAGCATTCAATGCTACCTTTATAACAAAACAGTCACAGCTATTACATAAACCAGGATACTATGTTCCAGTGAAACTGTATTTAAAGACAATGAAAAGTGAATTTTATTTAATTTTTCATGTATCATTAAATATAGGTCTTATTTTTATTCTCTTTCACCATTTTATTAGGGCTGGGTTTGGTGGCACAGGCTTATAATCTTAGCTACTCAAGAAGCAGAGGTAGGAGGAGTGAGGTCTTCGACAGGCCTTGGGCAAAGGTATGAGACCCCATGTGAAAAATCAAGTAAAAAGGGCTGGGAGCAAAGCTCAAGTGGTAAAGTACTTCAGCACAAACAAATAAAAAGATCATTCTCAGCATAGACAGCAAGAAAGGATAACTAGACAGCTGAACTGAATGATGAAGACACATCTCAGCATCACTCACCAGAGGAATATCTACTCCCCAGAGCTCACCACCCAATTTGCAGTTCATCTGAAGTAAAATTTTCTGAGCCACACTCCGAAGCCTGGTGGGCTGACCAATGGTTCGGACATTGATGACCTACAATGAAGGACCAAAAGACATAAGAAAAGGCAAAAAGCATCAGTCTCTCAGAAAAGGTGAACAATTTAAAATAAGTTGTCTTTCATTTCAGCACCATGTCCACATGCATATATAAACCTTCCTGATGCTCAACACTTTCATATAATACAAGAGTATTTGCATGTAACCTGTGCACATCCTCACATATACTCTAAATCATCTCTAGGTTATTCATTACACCTAATACAATGTAACTGCCGTGCAAATAGCTGTTATACAGCATTGTTTAGAGAATAAACACAAAGAAATAAGTTTGTTATGTGTCTGGTACAGATGTAATTCTTCTTTTTTGCTTGTGGGGCTTGAACTCAGGGGCCTGAGTGCTTTTCTGCTCAAGGCTAGCACGTTGAGCCATAATGCCACTTTTAGCTTTCTGGTGGTTAATTGGAAATCAGTCTCACAGACCCTCCTGATCAGGCTAACTTTGAACTGTGATCCTCAGATCTCAGGCTCCTGAGTAGCTAGAATTACAGGCATGAGTCACCAGTGCCCGACCAGATGTAATTTTTCTGTTTTTCTGGTTTTTTTGTGTTTTTTTTTCCCCATTCCTAGGGCTTGAACTCAGGACCTAGGCTCTGTCCCTGAGCCTCTCTATGCTCAAGGCTAGTATTCCACCATTTCAGCCACACCACCACTTCTGGCCTTTTCTGTTTATGTGATACTGAGGAATGAAACTCAGGGCTTCCTAGCCCCTTTATGAGTATTTTTGATCTATGGTTGGTGAATCCATCATGTGCATCCCATAAATATCAGGGATACTCAAGTTAGTGAATAAAATAGTTGGCATTAGTAATTAAATTCTAGGGTCTCTAGCCATTCATGCCTGCAAAGACATACTACCAATAAACAACCCTAACAAATGAAAATTTACAAAAGTATCTCCTGCAGAGTGGGTTTTCTTTAAAACCTTCTAGGAAAAGCAGCCAACACTCTCAGACAGTGTATCTCTCCCTCAATCAAGCAGAAGGGATCACTGGGGAGAAGGATATACTTGGGGAAGGAGAGCTTCCTACTGCCTGCCAGATTACCCTTACAGGCCCTACAGCACAAGATGCCTGGCTTCTAAAAGCTATTTTTGTCTTTTTGAACACATATCCCCTCTTCCCAAGAGTCAGGGGGGCTGCAATGTTGTCTTCTCTTACCTGTGAAGGCACTGGGGACTGCACACAGCACAACTTCTTGATGGCCCCATAAAGATCATCTCGTGTGCCCATGATAATGCACACAACCATCTGAAGCTTTCCCTGGGGGAGAGAAAGTGTACACAGTCAGGATTCAAACTGTCTGGGACTTTTATGGTAATAAAGGAACTGAAAGAAAGAGGGTGGACATTCCACCCAGAAAAAGGCTGTTGAATCTGACTCAGTATTTGGCTCAGAATGCTCTGTAATAGGTAATATGTTGTGATTAGCTACCTAGTGCTAACCCTCACTACCAAATATGTATTTTCTGGGTGATCTTAGGTCCTGGGAAAGGACCAGGCTTGAAAGTATGCAAGGGTTTTGATTTACAGCAGTCAATTCCTGTAATATGTGTACCACTCTCTTAGTGAACTAAACAACTACTTTTATGCTAAGGATTCCATTCCTTTAGAGACAAATGCAGAAGAATGAAGCTACTGACAAGTCCACAGTAGTCCTTCCTTACTTTCTGGTTAGGAAGAGAAAATGATACCAAAAGCAATACTGTATCCCTCTCTGTACCTCTATCTCTCAAGTCAGTAGCACTCAAGTGAAGTTAGTTTGTCCATTCTTATGCCAAGCACTGCCAAACAGAGTAATCTGTAGTAAATCAAGACTGGTGTTAAGACTTCTCAGAGGACGACAATCTAGCAATTACATCAAAGTCTAGCAATTACTCAGTTATGTAGAACCTGCTAAACACAATGAGCCAATAGGCTGAACACAGCAAATCTCTCTCTCTCTCCATCCCCCCCCCTCTCTCTATTTATCTACCTAATCTATCATATCTCTATATATACTTATCTACCTTTTTACGTTTATTTATTATTTTGGGTTTGGAAGCTATCCCTGAGCTCCTTCGGCTTGAGCTCTATCTCTTTGAGCCACAGCTCCACTTCTGATTTTCTGGTATGTACCTGGAGATGAGTCTCAAGACTTCGCAGCTCTGGCTTGCTTCAAACTGTGATCCTCAGATCTAAACCTCCTGAGTATTATAGGTGTGAGCCACCAGGGCCCCACTATCTACCTATATTATCTATCTATCCATCTTTCCAATTAATTATCTGTCTTAGTGGTATTGGGGATTGAATTAATAACCTTATACCTGGTAGGTGAATACTCTACCATGTTCCAGTCCTGTTTGCTTTAAACTTAACATTTAAACACAGTAAGGTTCACATATATGCAAATCCTGAATTTCGGTTTCCATTAAAAAGGGAACAAATTAAAAATCAATTTGGTAGTGGTACTCACTAGACACTATGTTAGAAATGAACTATATAATTTGTGGGGTGGGAGCAGTAGGAAAAACTGGGAGAGAGGGAAGCTGTAACACTGTCCAAAAAGAAACTAACTCAATTTCCTGACTTACCTCTGTATACCATCTTTATAATAACAACTTTAAAAAAGAAAAAATTATTAATTTGGCAATAGAGGGTTTTAATTTCTCGTCACACAGATTACCCTGTTCAATTCACTGCAGGCCTTTCTTGGTCCACCTTATTCATGTTTCTTTTTTTTTTTTTTTTTGTCGGTCATGGGGCTTGAACTCTGGGCCTGGGCACTGTCCCTCAGCTCTTCAGCTCAAGGCAAGCGCTTTACCACTTGAGCCACAGAGCCATTTCCAGTTTTCTGGTGCTTTATTGGAGATAAGAGTCTCATGGACTTTCCCGCCCAGGCTGGCTTTGAATTATGATCCTCAGATCTCAGCCTCCTGAATAATAGGATTACAGATATGAGCCACCCGTGCTGGCCCCACCAACAACAAAAAAATAAATAAATAAAAAGGAAGGGTGATAAACAGTATTAATGAATCTCATATGAAAAGTGTACTCTCATACTCAGAATGAAAGAAGCTCCAAAACGGGATTTACTAAACTGAAGTATTGAGCTATTCCTTTTCAAAGGAAAGACTTACCATTGGCCAGGCTGCAGAGAACATGGAAGGCATAGGAAGTCAGGAGGAAATCCTGATGAAAACATGCAAGCAACAGGAAGTAACATGCTATGGACAACATGCTTCTAGCCTCAGCTATTCAAAGAAGTTGAGGTAGCAGAAAAATTACTGAGTCTGAGAGTTTGAGGCCAGCCTGAGATAAAAGTTCTAGGTCAGCCTAGAGTGACCCTATTTAGAGAAAGAAAAAACTTGAACAACACACCAAAAGAAGTGTGTCAAAGGGGCTGGGAAGGTGGCTCAGTGGTAGAGTGCTTGCCTTGCATGCTCGAGGCCCTGGGTTCGATTCCTCAGCACCACATAAGCAAAAAGAAAAAAGCCGGTAGTGGCGCTGTGGCTCAAGTGGTACAGAGCTAGCCTTGAGCTGAAGAGGTGAGGGACAGCGCCCAGGCCCAGAGTTCAGGCCCCACGATGGGTCCCAAAAAAAAAAAAAAAAAAAAAAGAAGTGTGTCAAAAGAGGAAAGCTATCAGGCACAGATAATCTAATTCCAGGATAGATCTTATCAGAATAAGCTAATTACTTCTGTAGACCTTGCTTGTGCCTTTGTTCTCTCCCCAGTCTTCCTCTACTTTATTTACATACAGATAAGAGTGAGAAGCCTCAACTTGGAGTTGGGAGTGCCCAGGCTCCAGCATTCCTGATCAGCTGTCAGGACTCAGGTAATGGGCCACCAGCCAAGTTGTTCACTAGAACAATTTACATCTTGAGCCAAACCAGAGAAGTGGCAGCTCAGTACAGAATAGTGCAAGAGGGTACCTGGTCCAAGCTGCTTTCTCAGTACAACATGTTTTCCAGATAACCAGCTAAAGTTAAGTTAGCTATACATGAAAAAGGTTAGAGAGTAAAGAGAGGTAGGGAGTGAAAGAGAGGGAGGAGATGAAGAAGGAGAAGTAGAGAGAGAGGGAGGAAGAAGAGAGAGGGAGACCCTGAGTTCAATCTGAGAGAGAGAGAGAGAAAGAAAGAGAGAGAGAAGGGGGGGAGAATACAGCCTACCACAGACAAAAATAACCAAAGGGGCCAGACATGGGTGGCTCATACCTGTAGTCATAGCTATTCAGGAAGCTGAGATCTGAGGATCACAGTTCAAAGTCAGCCAAGGCAGGAAAGTCTGTGATTCTCTTATTTCCAATTAGCTACTAAAAAGCCAGAAATAGAGCTGTGGCTCAAAGTGGTAGAGTACCAGATTGAGCATGAAAGCTAAGGGATAGTGCCCAGGTTCTGAGTTCAAGCCCTAAGATTGGGATAAACAAAACAAAAACCCAGAAACAAAAGGCATAGAGAATATACTTTCTAAGCTCAGTGTTTTATGTGCAAATGAGTAAGATATTATTACTAGAATAGCAACCAAGATAATTTAAAATTAAGTATCCAAGTACTCTGAAAGAGAGATCCTATAAGTTACAGTTAAGTTAGCTTATTACCTCTACTCCCAATGTGGACTGGATGGTTCTGATGTAGGTCTCTATCCGGTCATCCTTCAGTTCAACACAGGTTGGTGGATTTATGCGCATGCCGATGGGGCCAGCCACCTTCTCTAACATGTTAACCAGTTCTCGGGCATGATCAATTGCTCTCTTTGGGTAAAAAAGAGCCCAGAAATGCATGGGCACCTAGGAACAACAACATCCTACTTGTAAAGTTTCCTACAACTTAAAAGATTTTAGAGGATATTTTATTACAGAAAATAAATGCCTCTTCACTCTCACTCCTTTGAGTCCTGTTTTATCTAATGCTTATCATTCACATAGATTCATCAGTAAATTGTGGCATAGTGTCTTCACAAAATACCATACAGCAATGAGAATTATACTCAATAATATAGATGAAATGCATGAACACAAGGAAACCAGACATACTCTATGATTCTACATTTATGTAAAGTACAAAAACAATCAAAATATGTCCTTACTAAGTCTGGACAGTAGTTTACAATGTGTGTGTGTTTGTGTGTGTGTGTGTAGGTAATAACTAGAGAAGAATGTAGGACAGCTTTGGGGACATTTCTGTTTTTATATCTTTGGTATTGATTATAGATTTAACTTGTGAAAAAAAAATTTTTTTTTTGGTTGGTTGTGAGGCCTGAACTCTGGGCCTGGTCACTGTCCCTCAGCTCTTCAGCTCAAGGCTAGCACTCTATCACTTGAGCCACAGCACAACTTACGGCTTTTTCTACTTTTGTGGTGCTGAGGAATCGAACCCAGGGCCTCATGCATGCAAGGCAAGCACTCAACCACTGAGCCACCTTCCCAGCCCCACTTGTAAAAATTCTTAAGTGTGCTTTTCTTTTCTATTTTTTATTTTTCTTTAAATATATTTCAATATACCTTTAAAGATGAACTTGTGTATTTTATAGATGACCACAAAGATGAAGATGCTCAAAACATATAAACATATACTATATTGTCCTTTTGTGAAAATAGTTATTGCACTATTTGCCTTGTGAGGCACAGGCAGTAGACTTCTTTCATGAATAAATACATCTTTCAGTGACCCTCAGAGGCAAATAAGGAAAGGAAAGAGACAAGAATGAGAAACATGGCAACATATGTCCTTCTATCCAGTCGGTGGGCAGGCAGAGGGCTCCCAGCTCTCAGCTACCTCATTACTGTGTAAGAAAGACCTTGATTAGGAAGCAATTCAAGACTTTCGGATCGGTTCCCGGGGGAGATGGCCACGCTGCAGGAGGAAGACGTGAAAGTGGGTGGCGAGCTGAAACTGAGCAAGAATGAGCTAAAGAGACGCCTGAAAGCTGAGAAAAAAGTGGCAGAGGAAGCAATTCAAAGTGGATTTCAGTTAACTTCCTCTTAAAAAGAGGATACCACATCATGTTCTGTTTCTAATTCCCACACTTAGGAGGAACACCGATTCTTTTTTTTTTTGTTGGTCGTGTGGCTTGAACTCTGGGCCTGGGCGCTGTCCCTCAGCTCTCAGCTCAAGGCTAGCGCTCTACTACTTGAGCCGTAAAGCCACTTCCGGTTTTCTGGTGCTTTATTGGAGATAAGAATCTCATGGACTTTCCTACCCAGGCTGGCTTTGAACCATGATCCTCAGATCTCAGCCTCCTGAGTAGCTAGGATTACAGGCATGAGCCACCAGTGCCCAGCTTTGTGGTGTGTGTGTGTGTGTGTCTCTCAGGGACTTGAGCTCTGGGCCTACGCGCTGTCCCAGATCTTTAGCTCAAGGCTAATGCTCTACTACTTGAGCCACGGAGCCATTTCCGGCTTTTTTTGTGGTGCTAAGGAATCAAACCCAGGGCCTCATGCATGGAAGGCAAGCACTCTACCACTGACCACTTTCCCAGCCACTGGTTCTTTCTTGTAACACTTCAAAAATCACTCACAGTCAAGATGGAAACATCTCTGGTTACTTCCTTACTCCAGTTTAGGTCCTGAGATGTGATAAATGAAGTATTTCTTAAGTTAATTCTTTCCATTGGTAGAACACGTCCATCAATCTATACAAAAAAATAAAATAAAGTATGTATGACATGAGCAATCTATATATCATTGGTACGGTTGTCTCTGATGCTCATCACATAAACTTGTCCTTGCTACAACGTTTAAGAATAGCAGAAAAACAATGAAAGTCCATGTCAATAAAGGCCTGCCTACACAAATAAAATGCTTATAGGTATGTATCTTCCTTTTACTATTGAGTTTCCGGAAAGGCCCTTCACAACATGTGTGTCTGCTTCTCTTTGATTGGCAATACTGAGGTTTAAACTCAGGACTTTGTGCTGTCTAGGTAGTAACTACTCCAGATAGAAAACATCGTCTTTTTAGGACAGTGGAAAACAGAGTAAGTTTATTTAAAAGTTCAATTAAAGCCATAAAATAAAATAGTGGAAACTCTCTATCAGGAGAGGTGTCTCAAAGAGGAGTCCCAAGAATACAATCTTTGAAAAGTATTTTAGAGGAAACACTGAAAAGAGAAAATTTAAAGCAAAATTTCTTGCTGGGCACCAGTGCCTCACACCTGTAATCCTAGTTACTTAGGAGGCTAAAATTTGAGGATGCCAGCCCAGGCAGCAAAGTCCCCAAGACTCTTTATCTCCAATTAAACACCAGAAAACTGGAAGTGGCACTATGGCTCAAAGTGGTAGAGCGCTAGCCTTGAGTTTAAAAGCTCAGGAACAGTACCCAGGACCTGAGTTCAAATCCCACAACCAACAAAAAAAAAAAAAGAAAATTTCTTGCGTTTTTGTTTTCTTTTTGAGACAGTGTCAAGATGTAGCCCAGCATTGTCTTAAATTCATGATTCTTCTGCCTCAGCTTCCCAAGTGCTGGAATTATAGGCATCACTATGCTCAGCTAAGGCAAAATGTCTCAATAAAGTTAAAAATAGGCTACATTCCAGCCCTATCCTTTTTTTTCTTTCAGTCTTCCTTCCTGGAAATAGAACCCAGGCCCTTACACAAGCTAGGCAAGTGTTCTACCTATCACTGAGCCATATCACCAGACCCTACTTAATTCTTTCAACCCATTATTATCCTCATTACAGATAAGGAAACTAAGACAAGCTAAAAGCAGCTTGCTCAAAGTTATCAAAATGACTTGGTAATAAAGTTGGAATTCAAAGCCAAAATAGTTAATACCAAAACCTGAGGACTTTGCACCACCCATGCAGCCTCTGCACTGTGGATCAAATCTGCACAAACATAACACTGTATGTCATAAAACAATGAGACCACACAAGTTGGAGACTCTCTTATACCTATATCGAGAATAGAAATAGTATACTTAAGAAAACTCAAGTTAATTATTGACAAAGAAAAAAAATTCTGTTCAGGCAGAAAAATCTATAGACCTTCATGTCCAAAATAACCAGACAAAATAGGGCTGGAGGTGTCCCTCAAGTGGTAGAGTGCCATCCAAACAAGCATGATGTCCTGACTCAAAGCCCAGTAGCACCAAAAAATAATAATTTGGGTTAAAAAACTAAAATAAGTTGTAACTCAATATTATTCTTGCTATTTGTTTGGACAGAAATGAAAATCCTCTGATCCATGGGAAATACAACAGGGAGAAAATTTTGGCATTGGCACTCACAAATTAAGTCAAGGAAATTCAAGTACCATAACTAAGATGATAAAATAGTTTAAGACTAAGCAAAACCTAAAAAACTAAAGACAGGTCAAGAGGCTATCACCATGTCTCTCTCACAAAGCTCTCTAACCCTTGGCTCAGTTAGCGTCATTTGCTGCATCATCACATCTGGTTTACCTTGTGTACATCCTTCTCCAGACAGAGTCCCCAACGTATCAGCTCATTGTTGGCTGCCTCATTCTCTGAAATTCTCTGCAGCAAGCATTCCAATGCATTATGGTGCTGTTTGGGGCTCAGGTTGATCTGCTGAGTCAAATCCTGAATTGAATTAAATAAAAATAAGAAGTATTATTTCTTTTCATAAGAAATTAAATAAAGCCCAATATGCCTGAAATGTTTTCTTTTTTTTTTTTTTTTGGGTCCGGTCGTGGGGCCTGAACTCTGGGCCTGGGCGCTGTCCCTCAGCTCTTCAGCTCAAGGCTAGCGCTCTACCACTTGAGCCACAGCACCACTTCCGGCTTTTTTTTTTCTTTTTGCTTATGTGGTGCTGAGGAATCGAACCCAGGGCCTCAGGCATGCAAGGCAAGCGCTCTACCACTGAGCCACCTTCCCAGCCCCCTGAAATGTTTCTAAAAGAAACCTGCTTTTCACTGAAATAATTACAAAATTTCAAATATCTCTAATGACTTTTATAAATCTTTCACAGAAATGTGAATGAGATATAAAGGGTTCTTCATTGTTTTTGTTTTATTTTTGCTGGAACTGGGCTCAAATTTAAAGCCTTGTGCTCTTGCTTGGCCTTTCTACTCAAGGCTGTGTGATCTACCACTTGAGCTACAGCTTTTTGCTGGCTAACTGGAGATAAGAGCCTCCTGGATTTGTCTGCCAAGGCTGACTTCAAACCTGATCCTCATATCTCATTCTCTAGAGCAGGGAGGATTAGGAATGAGTTACCAGTGTCAAGCTAAAAATTTAATAATGGAAAAGATTTAAAAATGTTGCCTCTTTCACTCTTGTGATGTCTTTATCTCTTTCTAAAAACATCATCTGAATTTAAATATTCCTAAGAGATTCTATGAAAGAGAAGCAAAAATTTTAGATACATATATCTAAAATTTGGGAGAGGCAGGAAAAAAAGCTGTATGCCAGCATCCAGCCAAACACAACAGAATAGCAAACGACAATTAGTCTTGCAGTCTGTCATTCTACACTACCAATTTGATGACAGCACAAAGCATTTTCTGCCTAGTAGCTGTCATAGTGTCAATGAATAACAGGTACTTTCTAAATAATTATTCGGTGCTATCTAATAGGTGGGTATGAAGATTTGTGTGAAGGTAAGTGAGTTCTTTTTTTCTATTTGCTATTTAGAACATCCCTGGAGCTATGTAGATAATTCTGTGATCATAAAGTCATTAGGCAACCCAGGGTTATAAGGAAGAGGCCTTGACCTACATAGGCAAAGCAGAAATACCAGAAGTCAAGCATGAAAGAAAGAAATCTCTCCTAGGATCATCAGCTTTATGTTAGGCTTTTTATGATGTTATTAAAAATTCTACGTGGCATTGGGGTGGGTGGCGGACAGGAGGTCAAACATGAACAGACCTTAAGTGGTAGCAGTGGTAAAAATTAACATTTTGTCCAGGGGATTGCTGTGGCCATCTCTGACTCTCAGCTAGTCTTTTTTTTTTTTTTTTTGGGTCCGGTCGTGGGGCCTGAACTCTGGGCTCTTCTGCTCAAGGCTAGCGCTCTACCACTTGAGCCACAGCGCCACTTCCGGCTATTTTCTTTTTGCTTATGTGGTGCTGAGGAATCGAACCCAGGGCCTCGAGCATGCAAGGCAAGTGCTCTACCACTGAGCCACCTTCCCAGCCCTCTCAGCTAGTCTTGTACAATAAATGTCTACCCTTATCATTTGTTTTTTTCTTTTAATTTTTTTTTTGTTTGGGGTGGAGGTACTAGAGTTTGAACTCAAGAGATATGTACTAACTGAACAGGCATTTTACCACTTGAGCCATGTCTCCAGTCCTTTGTGTGCTGATTATTTTTGAGATGAGGGTCTCAATTTTTCTCTGAATCAGCATGGACTGAAATCCACGTATTTTACAATTCCTCCCATAGCTGGAAGGCATGTACCACCACACCTGCTTTTTCTGATGAGACGGGTTCTTGCTTTTTGCTATTGCAGGGTTGAACTGTGCTCAATCCTGCTATTTATGCTTTCTCCCATAAACTTGGATGACAGGTATGCATCACAGTGCACAGCTTTTTTTCTGTTGGGGGGGGAGGTCTCACAGCTTTCTTCCCAGGCTAGCCTTAAACCAAAATACTCCTGATTTCTACTTCTCAGTAACTAGTAGGCATAAGTCACCTACATTTAGTGTTATGTGGTAAGTTAAGGCTTCACTATCTCCTCTACACCTTCAAAGCCTTTATTTGGTATTCTTCAGAAACTTTACTTTGGTCATGTGACCAATTATTAACCACTGTCAATCTGACTAATGAGGAAAGGGTTCTTTAAGCTCTATAATCCAATGCCCTCTACTCTTCTAACACACTGTGACACACTCTTTACACTGTGTGGGGGAAGGGATAAGATCATGTTTCACAGAGAGAAAACCTAGAGCCTGGAAGAAAAGATGTGCCCAGATGGCAATGCAGGCTACAGTCACAGCAGAAAACTGGCCCTGGTCTCCCTCAAAGTATTATGAAAAGATCACTGCTCAAAGCAGGCATATTCTGCTAAGAACAGCATGATTCCAACCTTCATGGCTCTGAAGTCCTTCTTCATCTTCTCTGGGATCCCAGTCATGAAAGAAAGCTCAGGCAGCAGCAAGATTTCACCTTTCAGGAGCTTTGACAAGAGAACAGAGAGGCAAAGTAAGGCAGTGAAGAGGATGGCTTCCTTTTGCCCACATAAAACAGCATAGTCCTAAGTGGCCATGGTGATATTCTTCACCACTAAGGAACACAAACATAAAAGCCCTAGGGGCGGGGACAGGGAAACACAAGTATTTTATTTTGTGCTAGTACTGGGGCTTGAACTCAGGGCCTGTGTGCTGTCCCTGAGGCTTTGTGCTCAAGGCTGATGCTCTACCATTTGAGCCACAGCTCTACTTCCAGCTTTTTGGAAGTTAACTGGAGATAAGAACGTTATAGACTTTCCTGCCCAGACTGGCTTTGAACTGTGATCCTCAGATCTCAGCTTTCTGAGTAGCTAGGATTATAGGCATGAGCCACCTGTGCTCAGCTACACAACAAGCATTTTAATTTCCCACTCAGTCGCCTTACAAATACCTATTATATTAAAATAAAGGGAAAATAGTCAAACTGCCCAAAGGAAAGGGAAAAGTAGAAAACAAACACCAATTCTGTCTCTTTGTAGATTCCTGACAATGGTAAGACAATACATCCTGTCAAGTTGAATGCTCTCTTCTCATCTTACCTTGCTGATCCTCAATCTTCACATTTAAGACAGGAGTCAGGTGACAGGGTACTTCCCCAGGCCCTTCCCTGTTAACATAATGTCTTCTTCCCTAATGGATCCAGAGTTTTAATTTTCATGCACAGGAACTTCTTATTCCTTTTACCTAAATTGCTCATGTGGATATTTAGCTTTTCCTTGTGGAGACTTCAAAAGCAAGTCCTAGCAGTTTCTGTGTCTAGATGAGAGACCAAATACTGCCAGGGTTTCTGGCCACAGTGTAATCATGGTACCAAGGCTCTGGTGGAGCATAAGGAAGACTGCAAGTGGCCATCAGGACAAAGAGCTTCTGCTTAAAGTATGAACCAGACACTGCTACTCACTGTGCCATGGTTGCTCTGTCTCTCACTGGGCCTGTGGATCAGAAGTGGCTGGTCCTCTTCCTTAACTGTGATACCATAGTTTTTGCTAGAACAGGGCAGAGGCAAGAAACATATCAACAACAGCACCACTATAGCAGTACACACTATTCCCCCCCCCCTCTTTTGGTGCCAGTTCTGGGGCTTAAAACTCAGGGACTGGGCCAGCCACCAGTGGCTCATGCCTATAATCCTAGCTGGAGGCTGAGGTCTGAGAATCATGGTTCAAAGCCAGCCTGGGCAGGAAAGTCCATGAGACTCTTATCTCCAATAAACCATTAAGAAACTGGAAGTGGCATTGTGGCTGAAGTGGTAGAGCACTCACCTTGAGCTGAAGAGTGCAGGGACAGCGCCCAAGCCCAGAGTTCAAATTCCACAACCAACAAAAAAAAAAGAACAAAAAAAACAACAACACAATTCAGGGTCTGGATTCTGTTCCAGAGCTTTTTGTTCACGGCTAGGGCTCTACCACTTAAGCCACAGCTCTACTTCCTGCTTTTTGTTAACTGGAAATAAGAGTTTCATGGACTTTCCGGCCTAGGCTGGCTTTGAATGGGCTTACAACTAGCTAACACTCTTGTCAAGGATCCATTAGAAACAATGTAACATGGTTACAACTGTAAAAGCAAAACTTCAATTAAATAAAGGAGTACTAAGGCTAAAGTCCAAGAAAGAATTATATTAAAACTATCAGGCTGAACAGGCATTGGTGGCTCATGCCTAACTACCCAGGCAAGAAAGTTTGTAAGACTCTTACCTCCAATTAACTACCAAAAGACTGGAAGTGGGTTGTGGCTCAAGTGGCAGAGCACTAACCTTGAGCAAACTGCTGAGGCACAGTACCCAGACCCCAATTTCAAGATCCAGGACCAGCACCAACAAAATAAAACAAAAACTACCAGGCTAAGAGATACAGGCAATCAAAAGGCGAAATGATAATCAAGTACTGACTAAGGTTTAGTCTCTGGTCTCAAAGCCCTGAGACTAATTTGTGTAGTAAACTTCCAAAGTACCAAAAGTATTAAAACTGTAAGAGTAACACATTAGGTCAAACCCTACAAATATAGGTGTATTACTAATCTTTTTTTTTTGTCAGTCCTGGGCTTGAACTCAGGGCCTGGGCACTGTCCCTGAGCTTCTTTTGCTTAAGGATAGCCCTCTACCACTTGAGCCACAGCACCACTTCTGGTTTTTTCTATTTATGTGGTACTAAGGAATCGGATCTAGGGCTCCATGCATGCTAAGCACTAAGCCACATTCCCAGCCCCTAATTATTTTTTTAAAACATATTTCACTCAATATCCTTTTGAGAATGGGAGGTTACATCCCAGATCTATTCTCAGCATGAACCAGTGTCTATTT